ACCATTTACATTATTTTCTACTTCCGATCGTCTGATTTATAGAAAACCCTATCATTGACTCCTGGAAGCAGAAAAAGGACTTGTAATTCGTGAGAATCTTGAAATCGAATTTAGAAGTATCTGCTAAAATAAAATAAAGTGGACTATTACATGATTATAAAAATAACAATCATGTTTAAATTGGCGATTAGACAACATGAACTTCAGTGTAGACTAGCTTCAGTGCTCTAAGATTTTAAGAATATTGGTCAAACCAACTGATTATATTCATGATGATGTTCGCATCAATTAGTGGGAGATGTTCTGCACATGATACAAAATGAGAATAAACTTTCACTTGTTTTCATGAATGAAAACATTGAATACATTGGTATTTTCTGTTTTCAAAAAAAGACTTAAAATGCCTTTATAAATTTGAAAACGCGACTACTGGAGCCAACATATCATACACGGATAGGTTCAAAAACTCTGATTTTTCTCTAACATATTACAATTATACACCAAATATATCAGTGTTTTTGCACTGTTATGTGAATTCTTCTCAATTACAGATATTACTGGAATAACAATTTAACAACCTTTTAGTGAATAACATACAATTAGCGTCAAGTTTTCGTGGACGATACGTTCATTTCATCAACGTTGGTGGCGCTATCATACTGTAAAATACATTGCAAAAGCTACATGCCATTTTACAGAATTTGGCTGAATCCTCGGGCGCGGACATCCGGGCATTTTCACCGCCTGGCAACCCGCGGTGAATACGAAGGCCCAAAACTCGCAGAAAACGGTACTTTGGGATGACTGTTGAGACTCCTCTGAACAGTGTAACAAGATTAGCCCTACGTGTGTAACATATATAAATTTGGTTGTTCGGGATTACTTCAAAGTTGAGTTTGTGTTGTTTTCTCGAATTTTCACCAGCTCGACCGGCGTTCCACAGCAGCGCGCACAGAGCCCATAGAAATGCATGTACAGTGGTGCGCGTCTTAGCAACGTGGAACGTCTTGTGACGTAGCTCCGCCCCCGGGGATACTTGATGAAATCTTAATGTAGCTAACATTTACCAGCAATCTAACTGTGAGAAAACATTGTCTGTTAAATTAACTACATCTTGAGTTAGTGAAATTACATGGCAGTTACTTTAGCTAAAATAACATGTTAGATACAGCTCATGTTTTTATCTAGCAACCACGACAACGTAGGTATGAACAGCTCGTCAAATTCACATGAGTTGCGCTATCTAACGACGGCTTTAAACAACCATGTATGAAAATATTGTCATGTTTAAGGCACCTTGGTACACGCATTGTATTTTACAATAGATTCATTTTATTCTGCGTGAAATCATTCTGGTCAGCCACCCAAACTAATTGTAAACTAAATTATTTTGAAACCATTATGTTGTTTTTCTATACTATCTTTGAACACAATTATTGAAAAGAGCGTTTAAATTAAATCAGATTCAAATTAGATTTTATATTTATATTTTATTTTTATCTGAATTGGACCAGAAATCCAATTGTACCCTACATACCTTAAATACGATTGTTCGACGGAATTTGTCCATGTCAGGGGGAATTTGTTCATGTTGTCGAGAATGTATTTTTTTTTAAATAGTAATTCTTTATGATATGAGACGTATTTGCTTTTCCCTGAGAATGTAGTGTTGTATATGCGCCCTCTATCATACACCAAGGACATATGAGTCAGTACAAAACTATTACATAACGTAATTATCACTTGCGACACCAATTACATGTATATTCCCATGAGTTCGTGAATCTCGTTCTAATCTGCTTACACGTAATGGTCATATTGACCTCACGTCACTTCCGCTGTACTGCCATCGTACACACTACCCTTGCAATAACCCCATATTATATCACAATCAATATGACGATGAATCACGTGACTCTGTGACACTATTTTGATTATAATACACTCCCACAACTAATTGGTTGTCTCGTTTTATATATCCCCCGGTGACTTCTTGTATTTATGGTAAATGAAACATCAGTGTTACGGTATATTGAGATCACGCGTGTGTGTGTAAAATGGGGAGTCGTGCTGAAGTTATGATGTTAATTACACTATTATGCAAATCAATAATGTATCAAGGTTATAACATGTGTCATTGTCTAATTAGACTTGGCCGTGACGTGTTTTGAGGCTCCTAGCTTGGCAAGCTTCTTTTTCAAAAGGTAAAATCAATTGTAATTCGTGTTTTATTAATCAGTGTCTTCAGTTACGATGGCAGTTTAGGTTTGTAATTTTTCAACATTTATGAGATACCAATAATATAATAACAACATTGAAAAAACTACAAAAAATAAAAACATCAACAAACTACTTTAATAAACTCATACCATACTTGAACACAGTAATGTTAAATTAACAAGAATTGTTTTAATTTTCGGGAAAGCGGTTTCTGACTTCACTTGTGAGGCCTCTCCCACAGGAACTTTTGAGGGCGTCGGACTTATAAATGTTGTCACCGGAAACCATGTGTCTTACGTCTTCGTGTTCATGCGATTAGTGTAATCTGATCATAACATTATGCAGAAAAATATGTTATACGGAGTGCGCCGAGAAGTCTGATCAACCTGTTTATCAACTTGAATATGCAAATGACGCAGTCAAGCTATAGTCTACACGCAACCGAATAGTTACATTATAATTTGAAAGTTTGTCGACACAATACTTTCAAATCGTTCATTTTAATTGTTAAGTGTTCGAAAACTACGACCGACGAAAACCAATCACGCCTCCGTAAGAGGAGAAATATAAGGATTGCAGGATTCAGACATACTCAGTAATCTGGAAATCGTCTACGCTATATGCTGACTTAATCCTACCGCAAAATTACGGCACGCTGTAACTTATGGCGTCACGGTGACAGATGTATAATACTATATGGGGGTGTTCATATATATTATAATCGTGATATCGATAAGCTGAAATTACAAAAACTACTACATTCTGCCGACAATTGTCTTCCGACGATTTTCAGGTGTTGGCAATCATCAGCCGACAGTTCGTTGTCAGACGTCATCTGGAACACGTTAATTTCAATTGCCGGGTGGAAAGATTTTGCGTGTCCATTGTCAATTCTCGCCAAAGATTTTTGACCGACATCATCGTACTTTCAGCTTTAGTCAGCAGTAATTTCGAGTTAATGACGTCATATGTTATGTAACATACCGCTGTATACGTATTTACCGTCACGTATACGAGTGGATGTTCTAATATATTTGCATTCACCGATTTCATACATATTTGTATTCAGGTAGTCGTTGCATATTCTGCTCTGATTGATAAATTACACTCTGTCACTCAAAAAATGATAATTATTTATGCGAAATTGGCTGTGCGTGTATGACTGTGTTCGGCGAATGTTGAGTCCTGAATTAAAATAAATAGTTGCTTCTTTGTGAAATTACTAGTACCCAGAAAATAATGATCACAGAATAATATAAAACTGATCGTCAATGCGAGTTAGCCTGAAGCAAATAGACGTAGTAACTCGTGCCAAGCATTTGAACTTTGACCCTTTCAAGTCAAGTGACCTTTCACAAAATAACCCCGCTTAATTTTATCCATTTGTTCTTCAAAAAATTAAGCTTAAGACTTTAAAATTATTTTAAAAAATCACCGAAATGTGCAAAATATTATACCACATTTGACGGGGAAAATCCTTACGTTCAAAGGAACTGTTAAATGACGCATAACGAACGATAACCACAAACACAACCTTCCTTCCTTCCTTGTACATACATACACTGTAATGTGACCTAACGCAGTGCTAACGTCGAGTCCCTGAAACAGACTGGTACAAGGAGTTTACAGTGGTTCATGTTACTGCAGATATATGAAAACAAACACACATTTATTCATGAAAAACACATAAAATACCCTTAAAAGTCGGCCTAGTAAAATCATACCAGCGTACACAAGGCATGCATTACAGGAAGAACATGTTTCCGGCGAAATACAAGACCCGCATATACTATCCTTTCTGTTGCCGTGCGTTAATTACACTTACGGAACGGTTCATCGAACAAATTACACATACGGGGCATTAAACATTGATGCAAATGGACGTAAGTAGGAAGGCAGTAGAGAATTATTGTATGATTCTACGTCCAGACGTTCGGGCCTCCACGGGGATTCCATCGAGAGATAATTCGAACAAATGACGGATATTGAAAACGAAAATTTCAGTTGGTTTTGCCTCAATGTTGTAGGTGGTAATAGAGTTTGTAAGTTTATAAAAGACGAGACAGTCACGTCGACGGATTACTCACTCAGGGTCATTTCACGTTAACCAATAGTGCCACTACTCTACGACTAGACATCATTCCAAGATGCCAACACGTGTGGTACGGAGCTTCGTGTGTATCGCTATATTACTGTCATATCTCGGACAATGTCTTGGAGCTGCTTTTCTACGGGAACAGGTAACTGCGTTTCTGTTCTTTAATTCGTGTGAGTGTATGTGTGTGTGTGTGTGTGGTGCGTTGACGCATTGAGGTACCCCGCCAACTATGCCTGGCAGTCCACGTTGCGAATATTGGCACTCGTATCATACTATGCCGAACTCTATCGATCTACTATTATTACTCTCAGTCAGTAAATATGCACAGCTTAATTCACTGCACAATATATCCAATCTAGCAGTATTATTCTGCCTGTTTATTAGTTGCTGTTATATGACAATATTCCAGAGAGTTAGCATATAATACATATATAAATTATTACAATGTTTTAAACGTATGATTTGATTCAATAAATCGCAGTGTACAATATACGTCTAGTTAAACTTCACGAGTTACGGTACATAATTCACTGACGACGATGATCGCAGTGTAGACAGTCCGACTTATGATACAATACACACTTAATTACTTTTTTCACGACGAGACTTTTAAGTGTTACGTGATTTGAAAAGCATCCACTTTATCCGAACACAGGCCCGCGACTTGGATAATTATATACGCATGTCCACCTTAGTTAAAGACGATCCGTCATCTGTTGAAGCAGCCGAGACTTCGGGAGCCATAGAAGGCGATATGATGATGGATCCTGCACAAAAACAGTTTTATAGCAACCACCTTACTGATTTAAACCTCCATCATTCAACGGAGGAGGAAATGAAAGTCAAACGAAAAGCGATTAACACAGATCGATACAAGGTTTGGCCAAATGGGATAATTCCATACGTGTTTGATACGTTGGGTTAGTAAATACAATTTCGTTCTGCTTTCAAGATTATTGGTTTTTCACAAATAAATAAAGACCGTAATAATGACGATTGTTCGTCACAGGCAGACAGATTAAGAAATGCACATTTTATTTTTAGCAGACATGGAATAAATGTATAATCTGATTAAATATTGTATGCTTATTCAGAACCCGACATGATCTACTACGCCCGGAGTGCTATGGAACAATGGGAAAGCAATACTTGTATCCGCTTTGTAACATATCCCACTTTAGACGTTAATCACGACGGAAGAATAGAATTCGTTGCTGGAAACGGGTGAGTACATTTATTTCGATTCTCGAATCCAGCGATTCAGATCAGTATTCAGCTTCACAACTGAATAAAAACACATTTTTTAAATTTCCACAGGTGCTGGGCCAATGTGGCATTCACAGGAAATGCTCAGAAAATATCTCTCCAAAAGGGTACTTGCAACTCGGTAAGACACAGTATTGGTATTTTCTTTTCTGATAACGTACTAATGCATGTACACTCTCGTGCGTTGAACAGGTCTTTTTTGGACAAGTCATCATGGCCGTGTTTTAAAATGCAGCGCCCTCTGTGACAAGAGTATGATTTCCCAGCAACGTCTTCGTACATGTACAATGTGGACATATGTTTCAATGAGAAATGTCGTATGTTTGTATTATTCTCGTTGATCATTTGTACGTCAGCGAATTACATAAATGTAAATATACAAACACAGTTACCCGGTAAACGATGAGTACTTCTGTATTGGCCAAGGGGCTCGTGTGGGTATTCTAGAATTGAACATATTTTTGGATTTGTTTCAGATTGGAGTGGCATTGCACGAATTGGGGCACACGTTAGGTCTATTCCATGAGCAGTCCCGCCCTGATAGGGACGAGTACATTGCAGTACACATCGAACACGTACAGCACGGCAAAGAAGGCAATTTTAAAAAGAGAGATTTTACCGAAGCCAGTACCCTCGACGTGCCATATGATGTTAGTTCCGTAATGCACTATGGTCCCAAGGTATATTATAAACCAGAATTTTTTATCCCTAAAAGGCGGCAGTCGTCGCGCTGCGCATGTGCGACTTTTGTGTTGATGAGTATTGATTTTTCCGCAATCCAAAGCGCTCTAATGGAAATCACAAGTATGAGGTTTTAGCTGAGCACGATGCACTAATTACCACCGGTGACTCCTTCGATACCTTCCAATCATCTAAAAATACCTAATTAAAGCTTGGTAACGTCTCAGTTTGTACACATTGATCTGCGAGTCAAAGTCGCCATCTTGTATATACGAGACCCATATATCTCGTGCATGCGTGGCTCGACGACTCGGACTACCGCCCTTTAATAATTTGTTTCGAATGTTGTATGTTGTTCACTCTCGTGACTAGAACTGATAAAATCGTTGAATTAATGAATAAATAAATAAATAAATAGAGAAATATTATTATGTGATTTATAATTTCCGGTTTAGCTTATATTAGTGTGGGTGTATCAGAAATACCGCCTCGAGATTACCACTTAGATAACTCCCACACTATCTCATTCTACTTGGCTACTGGTATGATGTAAGAACAAGTATTACAACACATCAGTTTCCACATTCTCGTTTTCTAATCCATCTCACCTGTCGTATCATCATCAACATCAACGCAGTGGCACTATTTGTCGATATTTATATTCATAAATTCTGATTTTATCAAATTGGCTAATTTTTATTTGTCAGTAAACAGGCAATACATCGGGCTGTGTGAATAGGCTATGTCACACTGTAGCACCACTTGTACGAATATAATTTTGTGATATTCTGTTTTATTAAATGTAAAAAATCAAGTATCTCATATCTCAATAAATGTATTTCCATACTTCAAAACCATCTGATGTTTTGAAAGGCAGACTCACGCGTGTCGGTGAACATTTCGCAAGCTCGTGGTTGTTATTTACGACGTTGGTGATTCAGTTTTAATATTCTCTATTGATTAATTTACTGTGTGATTATATTTACGACCAAAACTAGAAAATCTACTTGATTTCCATAATCTCGGCAATCGACATGAATAAAACTTCAATTAATATGGAGTATAAAGATGTTAACGTGTGGGACGACAATTATTTGAATAGACTCTCCGCTACGTGTCGCTTGGTGGCGCCTCGTGGTCACCGTGGTTGCAAAACGAATACAAATCGTGAGTAACAGCGTACATAAGGAATCAATTTACTCAACTTGAGTCATACACTTATCTCTTCCAAAGAAAATCTGTAATTTATACTAAATTCAAGGATATTTACCGTGACTAGAGATAATATAATTCCAAGGCGAGTTGTGAGTCATTAGTGGCATAAGTGATTAAATTCAATTCCATCTTTTTTATTTACTCTTAAATTTTATATTTTTATAGTCATTCAGTAAGGATGGAAACGAAACGATCGAGTCACTTGACCCAGAAAAACAATCGACGATGGGGAAACAGAGACAATTAACATTTTTAGATCGAAAGATCATGAATGAATTGTACAGATGTAGTGGTGAGTGTCACATTAGCCCAGAGTAACCTTGGCTGTTTCATGTATATTGAAGTTGATCCACGCATAGAGTAAATAAAACCCACTTTGCTGACAAGATGTGTCAAACTGGGTTGTCGTGAAAGTAGTTGTGAGACATTCATATCTTAGAAGCATCGATCTTAGCGTTGTTTGATAGTTACGTTAAAATGACCAATAAATCTTGTTTTCATCTTTGCTTTAGCATTTCGTTCGTTTTACATAATGTAGCATGTGAATTATGCATAATATAGCTTTTAATTTAGTTTTACATATCATGCCATATGAAATGTGCTGCATAATATGACATTTTGTTCAGATTTACATGTCATATAGCACCGTGAAATATTCATAATATAGCATTTCGTTCGTTTTACATAGTATAGCATGTGAAATCTGCAAATATGGAATTGCTGCAGATTTGTTAACAGAAACGAAATTTCTGTCGCCGTTTCTTGTTATTGACTGAGTGATTTGAATTACTTGACCTTATTTCTCACAAAGCATTAACAACCTTATCAATTAAGAACAAGACATATGTAAGCCAAGGAGAGACACGTTCCATATATGTTGTTTAAACATCAAGTCAAGGTTTCAGAACACTGAAAATCACTTAAGGGAATCTGAGTCTATTTCAAGATTTATATTTTGATATTTGTACCGAACATACGATGCATTCTGGGAGAAAAAAAATCTAACGTGTAATGATAGATATTACCCCATCCAACATTCTGTGTCTCACTGGCTCCCTTTTATGAAATATGAAGACAATTACATTGTGTTTACAGTTCACCGTCGTCTCTAAATCATAATATGCGATTATAGATTTATTTATTTCTATTTGTTTATAGACAACTGCACCAATAGATTGGAATGTTTGTACGGGGGTTACATGGATCGTCACTGTCAGTGTGTATGTCCAAATGGTTTTAGTGGTGTTACATGTAACGACGTGGTCTCCCGATCAGGTTAGAAATTTGAAATAATACAATAACATATATGATATATAAATGAATATTCGACTACGCGCATTGTGATGGCGATATATGCAGAATATCACTGAATGCTAAACGAAGCACACAAACACCCACCTATGACATCGGTGAACTGATCGTATAACTTTCAAGTTGTTTGTGTCGTACAAATTATGTACAGTAACGAGTGTGCAAGACAACGTACTGTTCGATTCACGTAAGATTGATACTCCCATTGAAATATCTATAATTTACACAGATATTATATATAGCAATTTGAGCCAATGTTTTAATATTTTTATGTGGGAAAAATAGAGATCAACCTATTTTTATTTTTAGAAAATCATGGCTATAGAAACGCACGAGAATCGCAGAAATATGTTTAAAAGAACATGTAAAATATATAGTCTCAAATTATCACTACACAGTGTTAAAATACAAATGAAATCTCTGAAACAAGGACGTTGAAGATATTGTTTATTTATTTATATTCATTGCCCTTTGACCTTCTCCCGCATGCGCAGACGTGTCAATGAACTGTTGTGCGCACTATAAAAGTATTTATAATCTTGATTTTCTTATAAAATACTAAGTTGATCCCCATTTTTCCGCGCAAAAATATTGTTGCATTGGCTAAGATTGCTATATATCAACATTTGCGTGAATTATAGGTATTTCAACGGAAGTATCAATCGCACGTCAATCGTACTCTGTCTTCACACTCGTTGAACTGTGTGTTAATTCTTATTAATTTACTCCTGTAATGCATGTTGATGTACACACGTGACCCCGGTACAAGCCAGATGACGATTTAGTGTCAATTAAAATATGTCTTTGTTTGTTTTATTTTCAACATCGTTTGATGAAATACATGTTGCTTCAGGACATTTGAGTTTTTATTATTAACACAAAGCGAATGCGCATTAACAATAAATCGCTGAACCTATTTGGATCTCAGATGACACCAATGTCACTTGGCTGGTGTAGTCCTCGCGTTTCAAAAAACAAAACAAACAATTTGATTATGACTCAGAGATATATAGCGGGTGTCACATATGAAGCAGGATGTACTCTTTTGACATCACTTCCTATATACCATGGAGCCATGCGGAGTCACGGTCCATGATACATTTCTCTGACTGACTTGACTATGCAGTGTAGTGTGCTTGTGGATTATTTTGTCAATCGTTGTCAGTTCTTTTTTGTGTGTTCTTGGACTTTAAATTTCCCTATACGACTTTTGTCTAAAGATCTTAGGTTGGATATGTCATTCCACTTTGCAGATTGTGGAGAGAAGTTGACGAGTTCATCAGGTACCATTACATCACCGAATTATCCCGACGATTACGACGATAATGTACAATGTAGCTGGTTTATACAAGTATGTATACAAAAATTTGTCACACTGCAACTGAGAATGACATGAAAAATAGACCTTAGGGGCATGTGGCCGCTGCGTTCTCGTTGCGAGCGAGAAAACTACGAAACGTGTTTTTGTCTTTCAAACACCGTTCTCCATTCTCCATTCTCAGACTCTGTCGCCATTGCGTACACTGTTTCATACTATTGTTACATAGATCACAGAAACGGTTTACTTGATGGACAAAATGGAAACCTAAATGAGGGGCTGTCTTCGAGATTTCGGCGGCTATTTGCGTATAAGTTTTATATCGATGATGTGGTCGACCGCCTGCGTCTCTGTTATCCAAAACCTTCTTGGATTACGCAATCGCTAAGAATTCCAAAACTTTCTTGCAAAATATATCACTTCGAGATCAAAATTCGCAGCCACCATACATGTTTCACCAGATCATGTATGCGGAAACGATCGTGTGTGTTTCATCGTACATGGTCCCAAGGTGACTGCAGCGTGTTTCGTGGTTTGCGCCCTCTGTGGTAATATTTGAGTGGAAATCGTCTTCACGTTCACTATAACATGGGATTTGGTAATTGTTTCTTTCTTTCTATCTTTACTTCTTGCAGGCACCAGATGATTACAGAGTTTCCATTACATTCGACGATTTCTTACTGGAGTTTTCCGAACCTTGTGAGTTTGATCGTTTAGAAATACGTTATGACGAGCCTTATTATGATGGCTATCCGCGAAGGTAAGGCAATGTGCAGTGAGTGCTGATTTAGATACAAACATAAAATATTGGAAAGTTCTTGATGATCATTCTCTCGACATTATTACGACATGTCACGTTGCCATCTTCAAACTATGCTGATGTTTTGCATTTTTCAGCGCCTGTGGTACCGACTTGTACGGCGTGACGTTGGAATCCAGTCACAACTCCATCTTTCTAAATTTTACTTCCGACTACAGCGTTGGAATGCCGGGATTCTCTGCAACTTACCACTTCATTCCAACCACATAGGATTACGACTTCGCTGTTATACACTCCATTACCTTGATATCATACGGCAATAACCACATTTCATCTTACATGCTTCTCAGAAACTGTTTAACCGGTGATCTTGATTATTTTATTGTGTTTATATTTTACGTGTCTCATCACCGATCATTAGTGGGTGGTATGGTGAGTGTGATTTCTGTTCAGTTTTCATAGATACGTACCTATCGAGTAGTATTGTCTGCTGACACGGCGATATATCGTCTACGTGCTTATTAAAATACAATAATTGTGATTTAAATGAATATCACAACCTGCTTCATTCGCCACGAATAGATTTATATAAACAATATGTTCGTCTAGTATTGATGTGAAATTGATATGCTGATTAAAAATTGTAATTTTTATTTTACTTTATCGTCATGTAATAATGTCGTGACGTCATTCACAATTGTGTTTCCATATCAAGATATGTTTGCAGTTGTACTTAGTTTATATTATCTTTGTTGTGGTCTTCTTAACTCTGCACTGAAGATTTACAGCTTGTCAAAACATAGTAGATTGTGTATAAAAGATGGTTAGTTTCTAGTAAAGTAATTCTCCGTGTTGGTCGCCTGTAAAAAGTAACGAATTGTACACAGGAAACAGAGATATCGAAATACATACAGCATTTAACATAAATCCATTTCTCGCGAAAAATTTAATAAGCCATTCGAAATAATCATATTTCACACACATATTTATATATTGTGTTTTCTTACACATATAATGTACTATGAACAATAAATAATGAAATGACAATAGGGCGATATTAAACAACATGCACACTAACACATTGTTTCATTTACAATCAATCCTGGTAGAGTGCATTAGGAAATGTTCTTTATACTATATAGAGAAAATTGTACCCAAACCGTACATTTTCCAATATATATATATATGCTTGTATATATATAAACACTTGTTGTGAGTGATGCCATTGTATGTGGGCTCCAAATTTAAATTATTTTTTTATTAACATTACATGCCCTCAGTTAAGCCTACCCTCGCGGCAAATCTACTTATCTACCGAATTATAATTACAATGGAAACACAAGACAGATTGACAGTGTATAACTATTATGTAACGTTGATAAAGATAAATAAATAAGTGTAAATATTCGTGCTTGTCTTTAAATAATTAAACTACGTCATCGTAATGTACTTTGGATTATAAGCAAATAAATGAATGGTTTTGTACAATTTAAAAGTTGAACGTTTATTGGCAATTGAAGATAACCCCGAGCCCCCTATCCTCGGGACAGAGCTACGTCACAGACGTTCTACGTTGCAAAGACGCGCACCACTGTACCACGTATTTCTATGGGCTTTGTGTGCGCCACAGGCGCTCGGAACGTTTCCTGGATAATAAAAAATGACCTAAAGTGGGATCGGCATAGTTAGTCAGTCGCCGGTAAATTCCCCTACTACTCATATAATAACACAAGGTAGGAAAGCGTTGACACCATGACATCGAAACTTCCCGAAAATAACACGATTTTCCAAATTATATTTCGATCCGCTTCACACAACTCAAGCATGACATCGGTAGAAACTATCGATCGACTTGCATTACCTTTATTCGAACTAAAACGGGTTAAATCTCGTTACACTGTTCAGGGGACTCAACAACCATCGGCTTTAATTATTTTGGCTATAAACTTATTTTAATTTTATTTTTTATTACTTTTATTATTAATGCACTTTGATTTTGATTTGGTGATTTTTTTTAAATTCCGCCCTACCTACATCTGATCCGACGCCTATGTAAGTCCCGTTCAAATCTCGCGTAAGTAACAGCCAATCACAGCCCCCCCCTTTTATACAGGCTGTCGGTTGCTTACTTTTCAGTGTATACGGGCAATCTTTCTGTACATTATATTTTGCCCACTTGAATAAACCATTAATAGAAAATTGCTAGTATATTTTTATTTACAAAAGAAATTCCACAGCATTTTGCAATTTTTGTCATTACATTGAATATTTTTTTCACTTCCAACAAATGTGTACACCTCCAAATACATCTTCGCCAGCCAAGGTTCGTTCATTCAGTCATCGCTTCAATTTGACATCACTGAGCATAATTATCTAGAATGGAAGCAAAACAATCGTAATGATTAGAACACTGTAAACAGCTATAGTAAACAATGCAAACTAATTTTAAATTGTATAACGGTCACCGGCCCACGGCATCGACGCAGAAAATTGGAGCCAAAAAATATTTCCTGATCAATTGCGATGATGTGTTCCAAATAAAAAATATTTTATTCCAGTCCAAATCAGCTCAATTACTTTAATAAAGAGTTATTGTATAATGTACAAAATGTTGATACAATTTGATGAATATTTACAGGTACGGCTTCAATACCGTAGACGATTTTGGCCCGATCGTCAACAAAACATCACCCGTCTCCAGGGCATGCGACTGGAAAAAAGACACTGATGTTCGGTCGAACCGGTGGAAACAAAATCGTCACTCCCAGAATAACTATGCAAAATAACGATCTAAAGTCGAACCATTCGAGCCACAATATTAACATAACAAGTCATTGTCAATGACACGTCCCCGTTCCGTTCATATTTGAGTGACATATACAGTCAAAGCAGATCATGACCGAAATGCACCTGCATATGTACAACACATTGTGCTAAATCTGAACAAAATCCATCCATGCATGACTGAGATCCGGTTCTGGAATTGTGAAAATACGTGATTTTGATGCATTTTCGGCCTTAAAATGGCCATCATTCCACTATTGTTAAGCAGATCATGAAACAAATGCACATATCTATTTGTGACATGATGTACCTTGTGTGTGTGAAGTTTGAACTCGATCAATCCAAGCATGTCTTGGATACGGATCCAGAACTGAATTCTTTAAAACAAAATGGCCGCCAGTCAGCCATTTCGAACCCGATCCAAAAAAAAAAATGACGTGCATCAAGGTCCTATTATGTTTAATGTATGTACCAAATTTGAACAAAATCCGTTCATGCATAACTGAGATCCGGGTCCGGAATGGTGAAAATGTGCGATTTTGATGCATTTTCGGCCTTAAAATGGCCGCTATTCGGCTATCGTTAATCGGATCATGAAAAAAATGCATGTGCATATGTCCCATATAATGTGTGATGTATGAGTGAAGTTTGAACTTAATCGGTCCATGCATGTTCGAGATACAGGTGATCACGGACGCACGGACGGACAGACGCACACAGGGCAAAACATAAGTCCCCGTTTTCGGACTGCGTCCGAACGGGGACTAATTACAGTGTCCCTTCTAGCAAATTAAAGCACTATAGCAGTTTAGTAGCTTAGATATCCAGTAAATAAAATCAAATGATAAAACAAGGTTGGGTTTTATTCATTTTTATATTAACAGGCCCTATCCATATGATCACAAAGTAACCAAAATTCAGAACGATCAAAACAATTGCCATATCAGAACATGCAATGAACATTGAAATGAACACTAAACCAGGTTGGGGGGGGGGGTATTGACTAACAGGGTACAACACACCACCATCATAATACGATGTCCATAAACCATCAATTTTGTTTCAACATTCGATGTCAAGAAGTTTTTTTTTTTCTTACGAATATGAAATGATCAGAGATGTATCTTTTTTTGAATGTCAGTCTCAAATTTACATCAAATTTAAAAGTATGGATTTTCATTCTAGAACCAGAGGTCACTTTCAAACTGTCTGTCTGGCACCATATTTTTTGGGACCTACACATGCTATTGACTCACTAAATTAGCCATGATTAGCAGATTCTTCTACATCATTTATATCCCATCATGCATCTCTTCTAAACACTACACTTCACATTGTCAAAAAGAATTTACACTTTATAATGAAATAGAGCAGCCAGACATTGAGCTTAAGCAATATGATGCATCAGTAATTAGTGTACCTTATCAGGGCTGCTTTCGTCCAACCTTTTCACACACCACATCAAAGCACACTGTATACAATTAATTGCTTTACAAAGTATTTCTTCTGCAATATCACGTTCATTGCCTTGCTTCACCAGAGAAAATAACGTATCATAGAGATTCCATCCAGTTAAGTCATGATAACTGAAAGTAATCATAGCGAAATTATAACCATCTTGCTCTTAAGGAACAAATGATTACCTTTTGTTATATTTTGTAATATTTCACTTTTGAAGTGTTGAGCATTTTGGGTGTATGACATGTAAGATGACTCGTGTTGCTAATAACCATGCAGGTGTTTAAAATAGATGCGAGCTGAAGGGGGGTTGAAGGCACTTTGCATGGAAAGAACTTACTTACTAAGAGCAACTCACTGACTTTTACTGACTAAACAGATCTAAGTATTATCAGTAGCTTATATAACACAAATCGACTTTTTGTACTGAGTAACAAATTGATTTCTTATCTTGAGTACTGAATCAACTTCTTGTTATACAGTACCCAGTCAAAATAACTAAACAAGTCCAGCTTGGGCAGACCAAAAGAAATACATTGCAGCCACTTAAGAGCATACACATGTGGACTCATTATAACACAACAGTCTCTCGTACGTCAACCAAAGTATCTCTGCCTGAAAAGGTTTGATCATTACCATGTATGGATGTGAAGGCAAGTCTCTGGAGAAATATTATGAAAATTTGGTAATTAATATGCAAAGATTTTAAAAACTCAGTACATGGAAGTTTATAAAACAAACTGCTAGTTAGTTCAATTTCATCAAACTCCCAAAACAGCTGAAGAGAAAAGCAAATTGTGTCAAATCTCTGTACCAAATTTAAACAAAATTAATAATATTGTAAACCCCCCCCCCCCCGCTCATTATGGAGTTAAGAAATCTGATAGCAAACCTACAATGGATACTTACTTATAAAAAGCATTAATTCTTTTAATACTTGATGATAATGCATAAATGTCATCTTCATCTGGTTCACCACTCTGAAATACATAATAGTATATTAATGGATGATTTGATTCAAATTTGGT